AGCGTCGTTCAGATGCTCCTTGAACTCTGACAGATCTGGTGCCGTGACCACTTCTCTGGGGAGCCTGTTCCAGCCTGACCGACCACCCTCTCCATGAAAAGCTTTCTTCTAACTTCCAACCTGAACTTCCCCTGATGCAGCTTCATTCCATTTCCTCGTATCCTATCACTGGTCACCTGACAGAAGAGATCATCACCTCTCCCTCTACTGTCCCCCTTGAGGAAGGTGTAGACTGCAATGAGGTCACCCCTCAAGCCTTCTCTTCTCCATGCTGAACAAGTCAAGTGACCTCAGCTGCTCCTCATAAGCCTTGCCCTCGAGACCTTTTACCATCTTGCTCGCCCTTCTCTGGACACTCTCTAATAGTTTGGTGTCCTTCTCATATTAAGGTGTCCAAAACTGCACACAGTACTCAAGGTGGAGCCGCACCAGTGCAGTGTAGACTGGGGCAATCACCTCCCTTGACCAGCCAGCTACGCTACACGCTGGACTGGCCAGACCAACACAAACACGTCTTTGAAGTGCTCTGACTACTTCAGGAGCTGCCTGGGAGGTACCACAGCAGAGCAGACCTGATACAGCTTTCAGGAGGCTTGCGTTGGACTGCCTTGGAGAAGAACAACCAACACTAGTAACATGGACCACTTGTGAAATTAAAATCCTCAGGAAAACGGAAAATCGACATTTCAATAGAGAATAACAGGATTTGCACTTTAAGAAAAATGATGCTGTTGCAGTCAGCAGGAGAACTCAAGACCTTTGGAAGAACAACTTTACCCACAGTCTTCCTCACAGCTAGCTCTTGCTCAAAAGATTTACTTTTCCAGAGGTTAAGAATCAGCAGGGGAACTGTGTCACTTAGATGTTATCACTTAGTTCCAACACAGCAGCTGAACAGTAAATGGCAAGACCTGCGTGTAAAACACACTTGTGAACTTTCAGAAACAGGGATTGATGAACACACTTTCTTTCTTATACTAGTACCAGAATCAAGGTACGACTGTGAAGAGAGCTTTTCCAAGTGACTTCGAAACATACAGGCATATGATCAGCAATAAAAAAAATAAAATACACCTCACTAACAAAAACAAAAGTGTTATTATAAGAAATTAAAACAGTAACACAATTACATTTGCATTAATTCAGCATATCACCTCAAAGAAAAGCTGCTGCATAAAACCAAGCTGAGCTAATAAGTACTAACAAAGTACTAATACTGAATCTTGCTAAATTCTTAATGCTTTGGTTCATCATCATCTTTTGAAGCAGCTGTTATCTCGCATTCTAATTTCTGCTAAAACAAAAATCACAGAAACAACATTATCAATAGTTGATGTGATATTGTTCTGATACATTACACCATTTCCAAATACGGGACATTTTATTTCCATATAGAGGAAAACAAGAAGCACTTCAGAGGATTCTTTATTTTCTTATTAACAGTCTATCCACAGCTTTCAAGACCAGTATTATAATGGTTCCATACCGTGAAGCTGTTGTTGACATTTTTTGTGCTTGATTCAGCTACGCTGGCATCTGACAGGTCAACTTCATCAAATATTAGAGACTGTGAATGGAAAAGAACATAAAAACATTAAATATAGTCTGAGTCCTCTTTCAGGTATGCTTTCAATCTGCGCTTCCATTTACTTGTGTCCATTCCAGTTGGAAAATAAGAACAGAAAAAAAAAAGTAGTGAAAAAATAGAGGACACTGATGACATGATAAAACTTCCTATTTGATCCCTAAACACAGTCCTATTTGCTATCTAAGTGGTACATGAGAGCATTAAAAAGTGGCTCCAAAAATATATATTGCTTTAAAACCTCTTTTAAGTACTTGTTTTTTTAAAACAGATGCAGCTTTGGGGTATCTACTGTGTAGCACAGATGTGGTGTCAGCGGAAAGAGATTCACACTTAGTAAAATACAAATTAATTAATCAGTTTTAGGAACAAGGAAGAACTTCTTCACTCTGAGGGTGACGGAGCACTGGAACAGGTTGCCCAGGGAGGTTGTGGAATGTCCTTCTCTGGAGATATTCAAGACCCACCTAGACAAGGTCCTGTGCAGCCTGCTCTAGGTGACCCTGCCTCAGCAGGGGGGTCGGACTAGATGACCCACAGAGGTCCCTTCCAACCCCTAACATTCTGTGATTCTGTAATCCCTTCCACTCCTTTGTTTTATGTTCCAGCAACAGAAATATATGTCTTCTGGAAACACCCCAGCCTCTGGCAAAGGATTAATTCGGTTCTGTTAAACTCATGATTGGTTTTGAAGCACAGAAGGGAAGACCAACAAAAATGTCTCCCCCCCTTTTTTTAGCCACACCATGTTCTTCCTGTTCCATGCCATGGGAAGGAGGATCGACACTGGGGGAGTTTCAGCAGGTCTGGATTCAGCATCACAGAGTATTTGTACAATTGCCTGCCTGCTCATTACACCTCCTTTTCTCATCTTTATGGCACAGATGACGCTGCCATTCTCAGAGCTTTTATCCGCCGTGTTTAAGTCTATATAAACTGCTCATGGTAGCACCACGTGCAGAGAAGTGTGGCAACAGAGGTACTTCAGTGCTGGGCTCCCTGAAGAGCGATGTTCTGGTTGATTCATCACAGCCATACAACTGCGCACCATGCAATCACAGTCATACAGTCCTAGAAACAGAGGTCTCCACGCCTTAGTTACAGTTATATTGAGAAGACCAGGCTCATGGATGATGGAGATCTGAAGCACCTCACCTACAGCTCTCATGAGTCGCTGGAGCACCACAAGGTAAAGAAAAGTAATGCCCCCTGCTACGGAACAACACAATATGAGCCTGCCCAGCAAGCCAAAACACCCTCGGTCCCGGGCCTGAGGGGGGGGAGGAAATGCCTTTTGAAAAGGCAAGTATTCCCCTCTGCCCATCCCCAATTTTCCCAGCCAAAATTTCAATTGATGGGAAATAGCTTTTTCCCTTATATATCAGTGTTGGCAGAAAATGTTCTTGTCTTGATTTCAGCGCAATCATTTCCACCTCTTTAAGGGCAATATGGGCTTCAGGCTAGAAGAGTTTTAACGGAATTCAGTTTGAGGGATAACTGCTGAGCATTATCCTTTTTCTACTTTTTTCTTTTTTAAATGTTGGATATAACTGCCTGAGATCCACCTCCCAAAAAAACCCCACAACTCCTTAAGATGAATTTATTATATGTTTGAATATTCAAGAAGGTTAAAATAACTGATTAACTTCAAAAAAAAAAAACAAGAGAAATCACAAGTCTTCCTTATTTAACGTTAACTGAAAACACTACAACATATATACAGCAGTTTTTTAATAAAACAATCACTAACAAATCATTACATTATTATTATTACACTTATAAATCTAAACAGAATTGAAGTTACAAGTATATGGCATTAGACACTAGTATCATAGAATTACCTTTGAATCCTTAGCATAGTAAAGGGTACGACCTCGAAGTTTGAAATAACGCTTTTTCCACCTCTGAAAAGAACTGGTTTGCTTCAGTAGTAATCCTTCTTTTATACTTGTCTGAAAAATATTAAAATGCAGAAGACAAGGTAAACACATGTCTAAATACCTACACATATAGATGAAAGCTACCTTTTCTAAAATTTATGTTACAGCTCATATAACTGTGAATTTAAATTTGCATCTATGCACATTAAATTGAGACATTCTCTGGACAACCAGACTTTGCATTGCTCTTTTTTAAACAATGACAATGTTGGCAAAATGCTAATTTTACATGTAAACTGAAAAGGCAGTTGAGAGGCATATAATTATTGTGAAGATGAACACAAAATAATTCAATTGCCTGGACAGCTGCAAACCCACAAATATTAAAGTCAGCAACAACTGACAGTGGCACAACTCAGGAAAAAAAATGCTAAAAGCCATCCACACAAGGTCATTTCCAGTTCCAAATTTGATTATGTTGAAGAGAAAAACAATTTCCACATAGGCACTAATTCAACAAGCTATTTCAATGCATGTCTGATTCAAGCACATGAATTATGCCCTTAAAATAGAGGGAAAGATCCAGTATGATGCAAGTCATGCATGTCTTCAAGTGTGTTGCGGAACTGAAGCCTTCAGCATGAAATCAGCTTACCATTAGGAGTCATTATTACATGGAAAGTGTGAGAACAGTAACAGCTAGGGATATTTTTGCCAGGCAAATATTTTTAGTCAAAAACCGATTCGCCGATCCAAACCTTTCCACTGAAGACTGAACCCTGCCTACATAAAGTCCATTATTTGAAATGAGTAAGACACAAATTAGTATATTTTAAATGTGTATGCTGCTTTCACCAGAGTGTGTGGGATTCATCCAACTAATTACAGAAATTCTCCACTTAATCAGATGAAATGACATGACACAGCAGACTAATTGCATGAGTCTTGAAATTCATTTTCTTCAGCTTTGAAGCATACAAAGCATATGAGAAGAAGCAACTACATTTTGATCTTATATTCCAAACTGGTCTCTACTATTTCCAGAATATTTCCAATTTGTAGTGTAATAATGTGATGCAAATCTTGCAATTTCTAGACAATGTAATATAAACATCATTCAAAGTTATTTTAGACCTTTCAGAGACTTAACCAAGACCTGACCTAAAGTTCATAAACATCATCATCTGTTACCAGATGTCAAATTCTCCTTAACTTTTATGCAAGAAATAAAAATACACAAAAAGCAGAAAGCACTTTAATGTTGCTTCTATCTCCTTGAAATGAGAAACATGGCTGTTTCATACATACATCACACCTTTCATTTAGATACTCCTAACGTCACAACCTAAGAATACGGTCCAACGACCAGAAAGCAACTGAATTAATGTTCTCGAAAAAGCAACCTTCTAGGATGAAAAATCACAGCTGAAAGTGTGGATTTATTCCACTTTACTTCACATGCCAACAACACGGACCAAGGCATTCGGTCAGCCCTCCCGCTCTAGCTGAGGGGTAGCAATTCCCAGCTGAAAGGGTCTGCTCACCACACAGCACTGTGAGATTGCTTGCAGTTTTCTGATCAAATCCTAAGATAAGCTAATTTTACACGATCTAAATAGATTTAATCAGTTAGAAAATACAAACAATTATTCAAAGCTGTTTGCGGTAGCTGTGCAGCACTTCTGTTTCATACCGCTCTCTGAGATTTCAGAAGCTCATCACATGGGATGGGAGTAGACGACTTGTGAGTTTATCCACGGTCGGAAGATGTAAGACCAGAGAAATTCAGTTCCAAGGAAACATTACTCCACATACATGGCAGGCACCGACTTACTGGAAAAATTTCCAAAATGGAAGGAAATCCACATTCCTTAAAATACACTATGTGTACTAGGAGACACAAAACATACACTATACAGAACATAAGTCTCCCTAAACCTTGCACTATTACTCACTAAAGAATTAACTCTTTCATGTCATCTTTAAGCCTACATAAACCGTTTCTCCCTTTTCTACTCCTCCCTTAAAACATCAGCATCCCTAAAATCAAGCCAATAACTTCAAAACTAAATCTATTTTACAAATCAGCCATTTAAAATTAAATCCCTCAAGTTGGCAGTAAATGACCATGCAGGCTCTACAGAATGTATTTTTGTATCAAAATGTTAAAAGAATACTAGACTGGTAAACATTTACCTCAGAAATGTTCATCACTTCATTAAGTAAACATCTGAAATTTACATTTTACCACCAACAGATATAATGGGCTCAGGTTTGAGCATCTTAAGTAGACAATTCCATGGCTGCAGGCATCGAAGTTGAGCATAAAGCTTTGGCCCAATATCCTTAATTAACTTCATTTAGCCTTCAAAATGTGCAAAAAACTTCCAGCTGCCAACTGAGTCATTAGGTAATCTGCTAATAGTGCTTTCCTGAATCTACACACAAGTCACAGCACTTACAGTAATTTGAGATCAGAAGGGACCTCTCAGGTTGTTGAATTTGGATCCACATTATTGCCTACAACCAGGTCACGTGAAGTTTTTCAAAAGCACTGATCAGGCTATAGCTACACCTTAAGAAAGCGATTGGTACCTTTTCCGCTCCCAACAGCAATTAAGACAGCACTCCAAGATCTTTCTGTTCTGAGAAACCTTCTTCTAATTAATCTCAGTTGGGCATTAAATCTGAAGCATAAGCATTAATCACTGACAGTTATTTTAACTACTTTCCTACTGTAATTTAGGAGAAACAAGAAGTGCACAACCCACTATCCCACGCTACTTCTCACTTTTGCAGAATCACCTCTCATCTGCTTGCCAAAACCTCTGACTTTCCCATACAGCATCTTGTATCATCTAGTAACACAACATCCCTCCAGAAGTATGGGACTATAGTAAGAATGGAATGGAATAGAATAGAATCACACTACCCTAGCCATTAACAAATAGGAAAATGGTTCACAATATTACAGTTACAACATCAGTCTTCCACAGTGGTATACCTTCCTGAAGCAATCTAATTATAAAAATCATAGCTACATTTCATAAAATTAAGAAGGCATACATATGTGTTCAATTATCCAAGAATGTTGAATGCAACTCTACATCACCACAATCTAACTGACAAAAATAAATGGGATTTGTGGGTATTTTGATCACCAAAATATGAGAGGCATCTTTTATATCAGATTTTAAAATATTCACTATATAACCCTTGAAAATTCAAAACTAACAGTTTTAATTTCAAAGACAACCAACCACATTGCCTTATTTCCAATTCATTCAGTCTCTAAAGTCCCACATTTGTGCAAAAGTAAAACTTTTCACTTCTGATGCCGCTAAAAAGACTCAAAGAAAGGAGAAAATACTCTGAACTTGGATAACTACTAGTAAACTGTCTATGGATGTATTCTTGACAACTGCAAACTAAAACACTGAAAGATTAAAGAGAAAACTCTCCCCTCTACTCCTTTTCGGGTACATAAGAGGACGTGTTACTCAAAATGCGTCAGAAAAGTGAAGAAAAGAACATGAGGAAATTTCTGAAAGTGAGGAGAATGAAGAATTAGAACAGGAAATGCCATACAACAGGGCAGTCAAATGTAAACAGTAAATTAAGAAGGTGAAGAAGAATTTCAAGATCACCTTGCAACAGATGCTCATGTTGAAATAAAAACGTTCTTTAAATACTTTGAAAGGTGAAAGATAGCTAGAGGGTTGGAGGGATCATTTTTCAAGAGAGATATGAAAAGGGTCCTCAAGGATGAGAAGATCACAGTAACGAAGCTCATCAAATTCTTGGCATCTGTCTTGACCAATGAAGATGAGATGGTATCTCACACAACATGTTCATCGTAACGTTGGAACAGCTACACCAACATTAAAGCACATATACAGTAAGTACTAGACCAGCCAAATCACTGAGTCATATGGATCAGATGACATTGACCTCAGAGCCCTGCACGTCCTGAAAGGACCACTGACACTAACTTCCGATCCTGGTAAGACAGCAGAGTCCATACAAAAGAGTAAGATTGCTGAGCCCATATGCATCTGATGGAAAAAGGTCAATAGAGCTTTTGTAAAGGAAAATACTGCCTTGCTACCTGCAGGAGTTCAGGGGGTGGAGAAGAAAACACGTGGGTAAATGAAGATCCAACAGACTCAGATTTTCAGAAAGCCTTTGACAAGGGTTCCCACCAGAGACTCCTGAAGAAATTAAGTTAGAATTGGAAAAAGGGGCTTTTCGTGGAATGTTGCTCGAGTGATAGGAAGCACAAGTAGGGATTGAGTCACTCTGTCTTCTGAATGAAAAAGTCATAGCAGCAGCATTCCCAAGGAATCAGGTTTACCCAGATTCAGTGACCCAAAGAAGGATCACACAATGAAATCTTCAGATTTGCAGAAGATACTAAGCTTTTCTGAGTAGTCAAATTCCATGCCAATGGTAAGGAACTCAAAGGACAATATAAAACTGAGCAAGAAGGCAAAGAGGGGCTTCAACCCAGGTCAATGTAAGAAGCTCTGCTTTGGGAAAAAAAATGTAAACCTCACTAACATTCTTACATCAATTTTGAGTGGAGAAGAGACGTAGGAGTTATAGTTCACAGCTCTCTGTGCTCAACTATGGCCAGAAAAGCCAAAAAACTTTGGATGTCACCAAAAAAGTAACAGAACCAAGACAGAGGATGTCGTTTTGCTGCTATATAAAACACTGGTGTACCAGACAGTTCTGGTCTCTCTAACTCGACAACCTTCTACTGAAGAGAAGGTACAGAGCAGGCCACTCAAACAATTCAGAGGACAGAGCAGCTGCCTTACAAAGAGAGACTAAAAAATCTGCAACTTTGCAGTGTGAAGAGCAGAAGATCAGGAGGGTAATATGATCAAAGCTTATAAAAGCATTAAAGCCAGATTATGGCGAACACAGAACTACTGCTCACCAAACCCTACAATGTCAGAACAAGGAGGCACGTGATGGAAACTACATTGAGATCAGTTCAACAAATATGAAACGCAGCATATCTTTACAGAGCAGGTAGTGACTTCACGACACATGCTGTCAGAAGA